GGGGGGGAGGGCATGTGGATAAGGGTGAAGGGTGTTCGTAATGGAATAATGGGACTCAGAAGAAACTGGTAAGGGCCATGTGATATGCTGTCTCAAATAATTATTTTTCTGTATATTTTATTAAATCATTACCTTTAATATTTTTATATAATAAAACCTTAACAATGTTGGTACTATAATTTTTTTTTAATTTATAGTGATTTAATATTTTTGGACATGAAAGTTAATTATTGAAAGTTGTTTTTTTTTTTTTTGGTAATTATTGAAAGTTGTTTAAGTTGTTTAAACTTTTAAGATTACTACAAGAAAATATCTGATTTTGGACGATTGTATTGGTCGTAAATTGCGTATCTCGACAAAAAATCCAATTTGTTAGAATTCATTGGTTGGAAACTAACATTCGTCGGAAGTTATCCTTATTAAAAATAACATTAGATGTTAGTTTTACGCTTGACAGGACTAGCCTACTTAACGACTAATCAACTATTCGAAGATTATTTAGAGATTTGTTTTAGGTTTTAACTATATATATCCATGCTGAGAAATTGTTGAAAAATATTTATTGCTTTAAAATAAATTGGCACGTCCAATTTCTTTCTAAGAAAAGAAGTAATAAGCTTTTTGCGGATACGACAACCTGATAACACATTAAAAAAAAAAAAAAAACTAGTTACTCATATTATTAAAATATTATTAATCAAAAAATTATTACTACAGTTTATTCATCTTTGGAAATAAAATTGGGAAATTGTAACTGGTGTACCCAGTTGACCATTTATTTAGATATTTAACTTCCATAATTTTTTTATTAGCTCAATTTTTATGAGACAGTTTTCTCCCTATAACCTCCTAAGAAACTAGGACAATGATTTTTGCTTTGTCTTCCTTCTTCAACTGCAACAACTAAAGTAGAGAGCATTGGTTATTTTTTTGGCAAGATCTTTTATCACCACAAAACTTTTGATTTGGTCGATCCAATTTGCAATTTTTTTTTGATTTGGACCTTCACTAACGGGTTCCACCTATTGATCCTCCACTTAACTCCGCCGTTCACTACCAAATCAATCACCGGAACCATCACTGATCTTCCCATCTTTTTGGAGCTGAAACATGACTTGAAAAGCTTCAAACTTCCGACTCTCAACAACTTAGCTTCTCTCACAAATTCCCACCAGAGCCTTATACACCGTTACTGTAGCTCCGATCTCTTTTCCGGTGGTGTTGGGAGTGGAAAAGTGTTGATTGAGGGTCGTGGAGGTCGAAAGTCTCATGGTGTCTTAGTCTTTCTCCGTTGCGGTTCGGTAGCTGTTTGAAGACTGTTGCAAGATCTGCTAAGATTATGGAGCAAGACAAAGGTTCTTCGGAACCGCAATATTCGACAAATTGAAATTTATCGAATATTGAATAAGTTAGCATATGAACTTATCTTGTTAATATAAAACTTATTTGTATAACAACTATCTTACCATGTGCATACGATATTATGCATATTTTTAATATGTTATCTAAGAGGAAGAATCAACCGATGGTCATAAATAAAACTTTGGCTACTTCACTCAGAGACATGTGGATAGGAGAAAATCGTTAATTGATCGAATATTGAATAGTTTAGCATGTTAAATTTAAATTTATCAGATATTGAATAAAGAGAATTTTTGAGAAATACCCCTTTTGGTGTACCCCTTTTTAAAAATACCCCCTTAATCTATCAATTTTCAAAAATACCCCTTTTTAAATATAAAAAATTATAAAAGTTTTATATAGTTTATAAGGTACTTCTATATAATAACTACTACTGGGAGATTCGATACAAATATTTTAAAATGTTTTAAATTGTTTTAAATTGTTTTTATAAGTTTTATAAGGTTTTTAAAAGGATTTATACGGTTTTTATAAGGTTTTTATAAGTTTTTTATAATTTATTTTTACGCTATTTATGAAAGGTATATAAAGTTTTATACACATATAAAGGTAATTTTTGTATATATTTATAAGCTTACACACATATTTAGATAAATTTCAACATTTTTAGTGGGGTTTTTGATAAAGTTTGAAAATGGGGTATTTTTAAAAAGAGGTATATGAAAAGGGGTATTTTTGAAATTCCCCCTCGAATAAATTAACATGCTAAAATTATAATTTATCGAATATTGAATAATTTAGCATACTAACTTAGCATCTTGATATAAATATTATCCGTATAATAACTATCTTAACATGTGCATACGAATATTATTCAAATATTTAAATATCTTAGCACATAATATATCATTAGTATAAATAGTGTTAGCATTAATTTAACAGATATAATGTAACTTATCGCGATAACAATTTATTTAACATGTTAAAAAATAAATTATCGAATGCTAAAAATAAGTTTATTTAATACACATGTCCCTCTCGAATGTTATAAGTATTGTCAGAACAAGTCAGAAGATTATTTATATAATTTAACCTGACACTACACTCTTTTATAGCATATGTCAGAACCTATATATTTATTATTTAGTTAGCTTAGGGTTAGTTGTGTAAATTGGTTATACGAGAGTAGGGAAAACTAATTTTTCAATTATCGATCATGTTTTTTTCGTTTTTCGATTATTACAGCACCTATTTTTAACAAGCCCAATAAAATTCTAAACAACATATTCACATGTCACTTCATGATTCACTTTGGATTCAACATGTATAAATCTAGCTCTGAATGGTGTCAGAGAAAGAAGATCCGTGCAGGGAGTTTTTTTTTAGTTAAACAACATATTCACATGTCACTTCTTCATGATTCTTTTTTCTGTTTTTAGAAAATTAGAATTCTTTTTTTTTAAAGGGCTTCCAAATTAAATCCATAAAAAAAATTACAAAGATATGATTTGGTGGTCATATAGTTTTTGGAAGTAGTTAAAAGAGAAGAACATACACTTAAGTAAATTCTAGATTATGTAAAGAGAACACAAAGGATAAGGTCGATTAACCACGTCCTTCAACCGTAATCCATTGATTCTCTTGAACTTTTTGCGTAGGCTTGATTGGCCTTCCTCCTCGGGTTCTTAGAAAGGAATCACCCATCTCAAAACATGTATCAACTCTACAGTCTAAGGAAGCAAACATGTTGCTCTCATAAACAGTCCCTTGCAAGACTTCATTTGCCAATGAGCCTGGTAGGGTAGGAGTAAATAGGCTAACTATGGCTGGAGGGGTATCAACCAATGACGAAGCCTCAGTTGGTGCAGCCAATTTTAGGAGAATCTTTTTGTGTCTTTTAAACGATTTCACATACACTGGTTTCTCCTAATTACTTAATGAAATTTTAGCGTCGATTTTTTCTTTTTTTCACCAGTTTGAAAAAAAAAAAAATTATTGTCATTATTTAAAAAAATAAAACGATTTGATAGTTGTATTTTTTTGGAAATCACATGGTATGTTAATACAGTACTCGAGAGCGTGCAAAAGTCAAGAGGAATGGGGACACGATTCACCAGGGGACACTTTTAGAGTCGTTGGGTAAACAATGAACATGCCAATGCTCTCTCAAATTTGATGTGATATGCACTCACTTGGTTCTCATTTCTCTTACGTGTTCTCTCTTCTCTGTTCTTGTCTATTGAAAGATAAGAATTGATAAGATTGGTTGCTAAAAAGGTTCTTAAAACATCTAATTTAAATTTTGTAAAAAATAGCTTAAGATTACTTAAGTTTTAGTGGTTATATATGGCCTCAAGTTTACGGTTTGGTTATTAAAAGATTTAGGAGTCAGGATTTTCGAAAAACTAAGTCATGGGGTTAGGTATTCACCATTTTTGGGTAAATCACTATAAAAAAATATTGAAATTATCAAAAATATTATTCGAAAATGAATATTCATCAAGGTATACAACATTACAAGTTTACATAAATGCAGAATAAGTGAATAAACAGATGTATAAGCGTGTGCATTTAATTTGCGAAAAAACTATACCATGTGATATGTTACAATGTAGGTACATTTTAC